TAGGCCAGCGGCTTGCAGGGCTGCCGGGGCTCTATGGCCGCGAACTCGTTCAGGACCTGGTTCCCGATGGCTCTCATCAGCATGTCGCGGCACCCTTTGACGTGCACGTCCTTCAGCTTGGGGCATTGGATCAGCAGCCGCCAGATCGTCCCAGCGCTTGGCAATCTGGCGCGTCGTACCCTATTTCGCAGTATGACGTCGAGTGCCACGGGTCGAACACGGGCCCGGACTGCGGGTATCACCGCCGGCATGGCTGGCACGGCAGGCACGTGACGTGGTTGCCCATATCCAGCGCCAGCAGCGCCTCAACACCTGGTGTGCCCATCGCGATCTTGGCGGTGTATGTTGGCTTCGCCAAGGAACCACTCAAACACACACGTGCCAACGCTCTTGGCGAGAGGTAGAAGATGGACCCGTAGAGGAGGAGCTATTTTTTTATAGATATGAGGAGTCAGAACTGTTTTTACATGTAGAGTAGAAGCTACTTTTGAGATGGGAAAAGGAGCTAGCGAGAAGGTTGCTTTGATCAGTAGAATAAGAGCATCTCAAAAAGTCTTTCTAAAACTAATTCTCTAAACCATCATAAGAAAATCATTTCAAAAAGGAAATCGTTTTCCACACTTGAGGGAGTTAAACTCGTTGTCCATCTTTAGCTAGACAGAGAATTTCAGAATAGAGGATAGCTATATTTGGATATTCAATGAGAGAGAAATAGTTTTTTAAATAATATTTTTTAATGAATAATTGCAAATCTAGAAGTTGTTATACAAAAATTTGAGATATGGTACCCTGGCGGCAGCTCACGGGCCAACAGGACCACATGGCGACGACATGGCAGCGCCGTGCTGTCGGCAATGATAGGGATCCTTTTGGCTTCTGGTGCCCTGACCTGTCGATCTGTGGAGCGCCGACTGGTGCCCAGACCTGTCGGCCCGTGGAATGCCGACTAGTACTATCGGCCTGTGGAATGCGAACGGGTGCCCTGACCTGTCGGCCTGTGGAATGCCGATAGGACCAGGTGGCGACGACATGGTAGCGCCGTGCTGTCGGCGTGGCGACGATGGGGAGCCTATCGGCTTCTGGTGGCCTGACCTGTCGGCCCGTGGAATGCCGGCCTGACCTGTCGGCCCGTGGAATGCCGACTGGTGCCCTGAACTGTCGTGTGCATTCTCAAAATCTATAGTTTACAAGATTAAAAATATGATATCAAAATTTAGATTAGTGACATCATAAGATATGAGCTGCAACCACAGTTACCATAGTTTAAGCTATGATGTTAACGAAATGCATATTGAATATGCACAGGGTTGCCATGCAAATACCCTCAAGAAAAAGCATTGCCATGCAAAGGGAAAAAACCGGATGGAGATAAAAAGATATGTATAAGTAATTGACAAGTCTATCACAATTATATCTTATTTAAGATTCTAACTTATGCATGAGCACGGGTTGATGGACTATCTAGTGCACCTAATTATTATTATTACGCATTATAAATATTGCTGCCAGCAAGAAATTTGCATGGAAAACTAGGAGGAGGTACTACAAGAATTGGTTACAAGGAGGCGCAGTCACACGAATTCCGACGAATTGGAGGTCGAAATGAAGCAGGATTCGGTATGTCAGGAAGTCCAATCTGTTCGATTCCAGGCGACAGGCCACACTTGCAATTTCCTTGGATTGGATGAAGTCGAAGAAGGCAGAGGCAAACACGAGCGCATGGTTAAGGCGGAGGGAAATCCAGGCACGAGGAAGGGGGATCGAAGGGCATCTTAGCCGCCGGCCCCGGACGGCGAAATGACGGCGGCCAGAGCAGCCGCGCCTGAGCCTGTGCCGCCGCCTCCATGGACGCGATGGAACTGGACAACTCCATGGCAGGCTTATCGTTGCGCGCTCACCGAATCGACCAACGGCCGCGGTTGATCCAAGGCCTACGAATCGGAGTGCGATTGGAATGAAACGGAGGAGAAATTCAGAAATCGGAAGCTCGAGAAGGAACGGAATCCGATTATCCGAGTGTTTTTTTACATATTGGCCCTCTTACTTTCGTCTTATTGAAAAACTACACAGGACATATTGGCCCTAGCTCCGAGACAGACAGACACAGCTTGCTACAACACAGGATGCAAGCAAATCTCAAAAAAAACACAGGATGCAAGCAATCTGGTGAAGCGAAAGCAAATTATTGTCCTGGATGAACTAGAGCAAAATACGGTTTGAAAGAACAGCAACAGGAGGGCCGGATTGCATTGCAAACCGTTATTATCCTACAAATTCCACAGATTAAACACAGCATGAACAAGAGGAGCATGGTACAACACACTCCAGATGGAACATACAGGGTCTAGAGGCTCGCTGAATCAACGTCGCACCTCCTCGACGGCGAGGACGGCGACGCCAACGACGCTGATCACCAATTGAGGTGAACGGTGCACTGGCTCTTCCACGGCCTGCCCCATTTCTCCTGCTCCTCCAGCTGCAGACAGTGGAAGAACCGATCTCGCAGGTGAGATAAGAAGACAGACCGAAGGTTTGGTTTGGTTTGATCAGAGCAGAGGCCAGAGGGGGTTTTGCAAACCTGCTCTATCATGAAGTGGGGCACGTGCACGCGCTTCGACCCATCGGCCAGCCGCTTGCAGGGCAGCCGGGGCTCTATGGCCGCGAACTCATTCAGGACCTGGTTCCTGATGGCTCCGATCAGCATGTCGCGGCACCCTTTGACGTGGATGTCCTTCAGCTTGGGGCACTGGATCAGCAGCCGCCAGATCGTCCCAGCACTTGGCAATCTAGCGCGTCGTACCCTATTTCGCAGTATGACGTTGAGTACCGCAGGTCGAACACGGGCCCAGACTACGGGTATCACCGCCGGCATGGCTAGCACGGCAGGCACGTGACGTGGTTGCCCATGTCCAGCGCCAGCAGTGCCTCAACGCCCGGTGTGCCCATCGCGATCTTGGCGGTGTATGTTGGCTTCGCCAAGGAACCACTCAAACACACACATGCCAATGCTCTTGGTGAGAGGTAGAAGAAGCACCCGTAGAGGAGGAGCTATCTTTTTATAGATATGAGGAGTCAGAACTGTTTTTACATGTATAGTAGAAGCTACTTTTGAGAAGGGAAAAGGAGCTAGCGAGAAGGTTGCTTTGATCAGTAGATTAAGAGCATCTCAAAAAGTCATTCTAAAACTTATTCTCTAAACCATCATAAGAAAATCATTTGAAAAACAAAATCGTTTTCCACACTTGAGGGAGTTAAACTCGTTGTCCATCTTTAGCTAGACAAAGAATTTCAGAATAGAGGATAGCTATATTTGGATATTCAATGTGAGAGATAGTTTTCTAAATAAAATTTTTTAATGAATAATTGCAAATCTAGAAGCTGTTATATAAAAATTTGAGATATGGTACCCTGTCGGCAGCACACGGGCCGACAGGACCACGTGGCGACGACGTGGCAGCGCCGTGTTGTCGGCGACGATAGGGATCCTATCGGCTTCTGGTGCCCTGACCTGTCGACCCGTGGAGTGCCGACTAGTGCCGAGCCCTGTCGGCCCGTGGAATGCCGACTAGTACTATCGGCCCGTGGAATGCGAACTGGTGCCCTGACCTGTCGACCTGTGGAATGCCGATAGGACCAGGTGGCGATGACATGGCAGCGCCGTGCTGTCGGCGCGGCGACGATAGGGAACCTATCGGCTTCTGGTGGCCTGACCTATCGGCCCGTGGACTGCCGGCCTGACCTGTCGGCTCGTGGAATGCCAACTGGTGCCCTGAACTGTCGTGTGCATTCTCGAAATCTATAGTTTACAAGACTAAAAATATGATATCAAAATTTAGATTAGTGACATCATAAGATATGAGCTGCAACCACAGCTACCATAGTTTAAGCTATGATGTTAACGAAATGCATATTGAATATGCACAAGGTTGCCATGCAAATACCCTCAAGAAAAAGCGTTGCCATGCAAGGGGAAAAAACCGGATGGAGATAAAAAGATATGTATAAGTAATTGACAAGTCTATCACAATTATATCTTATTTAAGATTCTAACTTATGCATGAGCACGGGTTGATGGACTATCTAGTGCACCTAATTATTATTATTACGCATTATAAATATTGCTGCCAGCAAGAAATTTGCATGGAAAACTAGGCGGAGGTACTACAAGAATTGGTTACAAGGAGGCGCAGTCACACGAATTCCGACGAATTGGAGGTCGAAATGAAGCAGGATTCAGTATGTCAGGAAGTCCAATCTGTTCGATTCTAGGCGACAGGACACACTTGCAACTTCCTTGGATTGGATGAAGTCGAAGAAGGCAGAGGCAAACGCGAGCGCATGGTTAAGGCGGAGGGAAATCCAGGCGCGAGGAAGGGGGATCGAAGAGCATCTTACCCGTCGGCCCCGTCTGGCGAAATGACGGCGGCCGGAGCAGCCGCGCCTGAGGCTGCGCCGCCGCCTCCGTGGACGCGATGGAACTGGACAACTCTATGGCAGGCTTATCGTTGCACGCTCACAGAATCGACCGGCGGCCGCGGTTGATCCAAGGCCGACGAATCGGAGTGCGATTGGAACGAAACGGAGGAGAAATTTAGAAATCGGAAGCTCGAGAAGGAACGGAATCCGATTATCCGAGTGTCTTTTTACATATTGGCCCTCTTACTTTTGTCGTATTGAAAAACTACATAGGACATATTGGCCCTAGCTCCGAGACAGACAGACACAGCTTGCTACAATACAGGATGCAAGCAATCCGGTGAAGCAAAAGCAAACTATTGTCCTGGATGAACAAGAGCAAAATACGGTTTGAAAGTACAGCAACAGGAGGGCCGGATTGCATTGCAAACCGTTATTGTCCTACAAATTCCACAGATTAAACACAGCATGAACAAGAGGAGCATGGTACAACACACTCCAGATGGAACATACAGGGTCTAGAGGCTCGCTGAATCAACGTCGCACCTCCTCGACGGCGAGGACGGCGACGCCAACGACGCTGATCACCAATTGAGGTGAACGGTGCACTGGCTCTTCCGCGGCCTGCCCCATTTCTCCTGCTCCTCCAGCTGCAGACAGTGGAAGAACCGATCGCGCAGGTGAGATAAGAAGACAGACTGAAGGTTTGGTTTGGTTTGATCAGAGCAGAGGCCAGAGGGGGTTTTGCAAACCTGCTCTATCATGAAGTGGGGCACGTGCACGCGCTTCGACCCATCGGCCAGCCGCTTGCAGGGCAGCCGGGGCTCTATGGCCGCGAACTCGTTCAGGACCTGGTTCCTGATGGCTCCGATCAGCATGTCGCGGCACCCTTTGACGTGCACGTCCTTCAGCTTGGGGCACTGGATCAGCAGCCGCCAGATCGTCCCAACGCTTGGCAATCTGGCGCGTCGTACCCTATTTCGTAGTATGACGTCGAGTGTCGCGGGTCGAACACGGGCCCGGACTACGGGTATCACCGCCGCCATGGCTGGCACGGCAGGCACGTGACGTGGTTGCCCATGTCCTGCGCCAACAGCGCCTCAACGCCCGGTGTGCCCATCACGATCTTGGCGGTGTATGTTGGCTTCGCCAAGGAACCACTCAAACACACACATGCCAACGCTCTTGGCGAGAGGTAGAAGAAGCAACCGTAGAGGTGGAGCTATTTTTTATAGACATGAGGAGTCACAACTGTTTTTACATGTAGAATAGAAGCTACTTTTAAGAAGGGAAAAGGAGCTAGCGAGATGGTTGCTTTGATCAGTAGATTAAGAGCATCTCAAAAAGTCTTTCTAAAACTTATTCTCTAAACGCTCATAAGAAAATCATTTGAAAAAGAAAATCGTTTTCCACACTTGAGGGAGTTAAACTCGTTGTCCATCTTTAGCTAGATAGAGAATTTCATAATAGAGGATAGCTATATTTGGATATTCAATGAGAGAGAAATAGTTTTTTTAAATAATATTTTTAATGAATAATTGCAAATCTAGAAGCTGTTATATAAAAATTTGAGATATGGTACCCTGTCGGCAGCTCACGGGGCGACAAGACCACGTGGCAGCGCCGTACTGTCGGCGACGACAGGGATCCTATTGGCTGCTGGTGCCCTGATCTGTCGGCCCATGGAGTGCCGACTGGTGCCCAGACCTGTCGGCCCGTGGAATGCGGAGGTGCCCTGACCTGTCGGCCGGTGGAATGCCGACAGGACCAGGCGGCGACGATAGGTATCGGCTTCTGGTGCCCTAACCTGTCGGCCCGTGGAATGTCGACTGGCTGCATTCTCAAAATCTATAGTTTACAAGATTAAAAATATGATATCAAAATTTAGATTAGTGACATCATAAGATATGAGCTGCAACCACAGCTACCATAGTTTAAGCTATGATGTTAACGAAATGAATATTGAATATGCACAGGGTTGCCATGCAAAGGGAAAAAACCGGATGGAGATAAAAAAGATATGTATAAGTAATCGACAAGTCTGTCACAATTATATCTTATTTAATATTCTAACTTCTGCATGAGCACGGGTTGATGGACTATCTAGTGCACCTAATTATTATTATTACGCATTATAAATATTGCTGCCAGCAAGAAATTTGCATGGAAAACTAGGCGGAGGTACTACAAGAATTGGTTACAAGGAGGCGCAGTCACACGAATTCCGACGAATTGGAGGTCGAAATGAAGCAGGATTCAGTATGTCAGGAAGTCCAATCTGTTCGATTCTAGGCGACAGGACACACTTGCAACTTCCTTGGATTGGATGAAGTCGAAGAAGGCAGAGGCAAACGCGAGCGCATGGTTAAGGCGGAGGGAAATCCAGGCGCGAGGAAGGGGGATCGAAGAGCATCTTACCCGCCGGCCCCGTCTGGCGAAATGACGGCGGCCGGAGCAGCCGCGCCTGAGGCTGCGCCGCCGCCTCCGTGGACGCGATGGAACTGGACAACTCTATGGCAGGCTTATCGTTGCACGCTCACAGAATCGACCGGCGGCCGCGGTTGATCCAAGGCCGACGAATCGGAGTGCGATTGGAACGAAACGGAGGAGAAATTTAGAAATCGGAAGCTCGAGAAGGAACGGAATCCGATTATCCGAGTGTCTTTTTACATATTGGCCCTCTTACTTTTGTCGTATTGAAAAACTACACAGGACATATTGGCCCTAGCTCCGAGACAGACAGACACAGCTTGCTACAATACAGGATGCAAGCAATCCGGTGAAGCAAAAGCAAACTATTGTCCTGGATGAACAAGAGCAAAATACGGTTTGAAAGTACAGCAACAGGAGGGCCGGATTGCATTGCAAACCGTTATTGTCCTACAAATTCCACAGATTAAACACAGCATGAACAAGAGGAGCATGGTACAACACACTCCAGATGGAACATACAGGGTCTAGAGGCTCGCTGAATCAACGTCGCACCTCCTCGACGGCGAGGACGGCGACGCCAACGACGCTGATCACCAATTGAGGTGAACGGTGCACTGGCTCTTCCGCGGCCTGCCCCATTTCTCCTGCTCCTCCAGCTGCAGACAGTGGAAGAACCGATCGCGCAGGTGAGATAAGAAGACAGACTGAAGGTTTGGTTTGGTTTGATCAGAGTAGAGGCCAGAGGGGGTTTTGCAAACCTGCTCTATCATGAAGTGGGGCACGTGCACGCGCTTCGACCCATAGGCCAGCGGCTTACAGGGCAGCCGGGGCTCTATGGCCGCGAACTCGTTCAGGACCTGGTTCCTGATGGCTCCGATCAGCATGTCGCGGCACCCTTTGACGTGCACGTCCTTCAGCTTGGGGCACTGGATCAGCAGCCGCCAGATCGTCCCAACGCTTGGCAATCTGGCGCGTCGTACCCTATTTCGTAGTATGACGTCGAGTGTCGCGGGTCGAACACGGGCCCGGACTACGGGTATCACCGCCGCCATGGCTGGCACGGCAGGCACGTGACGTGGTTGCCCATGTCCTGCGCCAACAGCGCCTCAACGCCCGGTGTGCCCATCACGATCTTGGCGGTGTATGTTGGCTTCGCCAAGGAACCACTCAAACACACACATGCCAACGCTCTTGGCGAGAGGTAGAAGAAGCAACCGTAGAGGTGGAGCTATTTTTTATAGACATGAGGAGTCACAACTGTTTTTACATGTAGAGTAGAAGCTACTTTTAAGAAGGGAAAAGGAGCTAGCGAGATGGTTGCTTTGATCAGTAGATTAAGAGCATCTCAAAAAGTCTCTCTAAAACTTATTCTCTAGACCCTCATAAGAAAATCATTTGAAAAAGAAAATCGTTTTCCACACTTGAGGGAGTTAAACTCGTTGTCCATCTTTAGCTAGATAGAGAATTTCAGAATAGAGGATAGATATATTTGGATATTCAATGAGAGAGAAATAGTTTTTTAAATAATATTTTTTAATGAATAATTGCAAATCTAGAAGCTGTTATATAAAAATTTGAGATATGGTACCCTGTCGGCAGCTCACGGGCCGACAAGACCACGTGGCGACGACGTGGCAGCGCCATGCTGTCGGCAACGACAGGGATCAGCTGCTGGTGCCCTGATCTGTCGGCCCGTGGAGTGCCGACTGGTGCCCAGACCTGTCGACCCGTGGAGTGCCGACTGGTGCCCAGACCTGTCGACCCGTGGAATACGGAGGTGCCCTGACCGGCCCGTGGAATACGGAGGTGCCCTGACCTGTCGGCCGGTGGAATGCCGACAGGACCAGGTGGCGACGATAGGTATCGGCTTCTGGTGCCCTAACCTGTCGGCCCGTGGAATGCCGACTGGCTGCATTCACAAAATCTATAGTTTACAAGATTAAAATTATGATATCAAAATTTAGATTAGTGACATCATAAGATATGAGCTGCAACCACAGCTACCATAGTTTAAGCTATGATGTTAACGAAATGAATATTGAATATGCACAGGGTTGCCATGCAAACGGAAAAAACCGGATGGAGATAAAAAAAGATATGTATAAGTAATCGACAAGTCTATCACAATTATATCTTATTTAATATTCTAACTTATGCATGAGCACGGGTTGATGGACTATCTTGTGCACCTAATTATTATTATTGCGTATTATAAATATTGCTGCCAGCAAGAAATTTGCATGGAAAACTTGGAGGAGGTACTACAAGAATTTGTTACAAGGAGGCGCAGTCACACGAATTCCGACGAATTGGAGGTCGAAATGAAGCAGGATTCAGTATGTCAGGAAGTCCAATCTATTCGATTCCAGGCGACAGGCCACACTTGCAACTTCCTTGGATTGGATGAAGTCGAAGAAGGTAGAGGCAAACGCGAGCACATGGTTCAGGCGGAGGGAAATCCAGGCGCGAGGAAGGGGGATCGAAGAGCATCTTACCCGCCGGCCCCGTCCGGCGAAATGACCGCGGCCGGAGCTGCCGCGCCTGAGGCTGCGCCGCCGCCTCCATGGACGCGATGGAACTGGACAACTCCATGGCAGGCTTATCGTTGCACGCTCACAGAATCGACCGGCGGCCGCGGTTGATCCAAGGCCGACGAATCGGAGAGCGATTGGAACGAAACGGAGGAGAAATTTAGAAATCGGAAGCTCGAGAAGGAACGGAATCCGATTATCCGAGTGTCTTTTTACATATTGGTCCTCTTACTTTTGTCATATTGAAAAACTACACAGGACATATTGGCCCTAGCTCCGAGACAGACAGACACAGCTTGCTACAATACAGGATGCAAGCAATCCGGTGAAGCAAAAGCAAACTATTGTCCTGGATGAACAAGAGCAAAATACGGTTTGAAAGTACAGCAACAGGAGGGCCGGATTGCATTGCAAACCGTTATTGTCCTACAAATTCCACAGATTAAACACAGCATGAACAAGAGGAGCATGGTACAACACACTCCAGATGGAACATACAGGGTCTAGAGGCTCGCTGAATCAACGTCGCACCTCCTCGACGGCGAGGACGGCGACGCCAACGACGCTGATCACCAATTGAGGTGAACGGTGCACTGGCTCTTCCGCGGCCTGCCCCATTTCTCCTGCTCCTCCAGCTGCAGACAGTGGAAGAACCGATCGCGCAGGTGAGATAAGAAGACAGACTGAAGGTTTGGTTTGGTTTGATCAGAGTAGAGGCCAGAGGGGGTTTTGCAAACCTGCTCTATCATGAAGTGGGGCACGTGCACGCGCTTCGACCCATAGGCCAGCGGCTTGCAGGGCAGCCGGGGCTCTATGGCCGCGAACTCGTTCAGGACCTGGTTCCTGATGGCTCCGATCAGCATGTCGCGACACCCTTTGACGTGCACGTCCTTCAGCTTGGGGCACTGGATCAGCAGCCGCCAGATCGTCCCAACGCTTGGCAATCTGGCGCGTCGTACCTTATTTCGCAATATGACGTCGAGTGCTGCGGGTCGAACACGGGCCCGGACTGCGGGTATCACCACCGGCATGGCTGGCACGGCAGGCACGTGACGTGGTTGCCCATGTCCAGCGCCAACAGC